TGAACCTTCCAGCCCTATGGCAGGGCATTTGGGGCACTATTGAGGTGCGATTTGGGTGGCCTTGTCCACTTTGGTTTTCTATTTGTTTGATTGGCCTGGCATTTTGTGTTGAGAATTCTCTGTATTGTCTGTGTTTGTTTGTAAAGTTTTGTTACAACATAGGAAAGTTCCATCTAAAAGTTCCTTGGGAAAAATTTTGGCTGGATGGTAAACTTACAGCTGCAAACATACATCTAAGGAAAATGGTTTTATCATAATTCAATGTATATGCTGGAGTGTGAGGAAAATGAAAATTTAAATGAAACTTTAGATCATACTGTCTTGTAAGTGAAATTATTTTGTAAAAGATCAGATAACTAGGACAAGATCCTATATGTGTTGGCTTATTGGATAGGAAATATCTGATTTATTCGAGGTTGGACATTTCATGTTTAATGACCTAATGTGATCTTAAAGGCCTATGATAAAGTTAATGCTGTTAACAGTTGAATTTACCTGGTGGCAGGACACCACGTGGTGAGGGGGCTGGAGGAGAGATTGCCTGTTGCCCTCACACCTAGGGGCACTGACTACCTGGAAGGGGGTCAGAGCGGCCACAGTGCCCACAGCCGGTCTGCGGGAAGGCACCACAGGCTCTGATCTACCCCATGCCAGAGGCTGGCAGCTGGCTGGAGAAACAGCCCAGCTCGGGGTCAGCCTGGGGCAACTAACACTGGCCACAGCCATTTTGATGATGAGGGAGGGGAATGGAGTAGGGCAGAGGGAAAAAAAAGCCTACAGCCCATGCCCCTGCTGGGCGCACTGTATTATGCCTGAAAGAATTCCTATGTGCCTTTGGTGTTCGCCTAGAACAGGAGCAGGGTACTTAAGAAAGAAAATTTTTTATCTACTTGCTGCTGCCAGGTCCAAGCAGACCTTCTGTTTCCAACATAATAAAGATGGGATCAGGGAATCAGGGAAACTAACTCGGGTAGAAATGATCTCTTCCTCTAAGCAGAAAACTCAATTTGGCCAGGGGATGTTCCATAATCAGAAGGGGACAAATTATGTATGCTTTTTGTAAAAAGAAAGGACACTAGAAAGAACTATAAAGAATTTTGCCCAAAAGTTACAAAGGCATCCAGATAGTAAGATGCCCCCAGGAGAGAAAAAGTTTTTTTTAAGTCTAGGACTCAGATGGTGTCTGGGGAGTGGGCTCAGAGCCCTTGCCTCCAAACACCCCCACAGGAGCCCTGGGAGAAATTGAGAGTGGGGATTCAATTGGTGCCCACCTGCATGGGCAGAAATAGTCCAGTGGGGGAACCTTTTCCCCTGGACGCAGCCCCAAGACACCAGCCATGCCTGGGGAAGCCAGGCAGAGAGCAGTGGGGGAGGGGCCAAACAGTGGTGAGGCGCTATACACAAGCTGCTGCTGAAGAACCTGAATGGTATTACAGGATCCTGGGACTGGAATGGCTTTAAAGTACTATTAGAGTGTGTTAGGAGTTTTTAAAAGGGCTCTTCTGCCCTGTTTGATGAAAGCATAGCAGGGGATCTGTGGACCTGCAATCGAACAGATCTGTAAACTTGTATTACCTTATCTGGGGTTCCTAGGAATGGTGTCTGGATCCCAGACTTTAGACTGATGGTAAAGCCCTTGTATGAGGCCCTTAAGAGAACACCTTATTATTACCCCATTCTTGGTTTGCCTGACTTGTAAATAATACAAAAAACAGGGAATGAGCCTTAGAGTATTAGTATAGATGCTGAGAGACATCCCAAGACCAGTGACATATGAAAGCCATTGAACAATATTGTGAGAAGATGGCCTCCTTGATAAATTGTTATTAAAGACTGTGTCTATTCTCAATCCTGCCACCCTTTTGCCTTTGACTGTTTAAAGGTTCTGGAGACTATATCCTAGGCAGGATGGATCTGTCAGATCAGCCCATGTTAGAGTAAGATTGGGATTTTTCTCACTTTATGGAACAGCTTTATGAACAATGAGGGACTGGATGTATGGTGAGTACAGCAGCAGCACTGCCACCTGGGACTTCAGCCCAGGAAGCTGAGTTGTAGTTATCAAAAAAAAAAAGGTAAACATTTATTTGCTTTCATGATTGTACATCTCATTTGAAAGGTGTCTCCTGACAGGAGGAGATACAAATATTAAGTGTGCCACTGATACAATGGCCTTGATGCAGGCCACGCTGAGCCCAAGCTGGTGGCCAACATGGCAAAAAGAAGTCAGGCCTCTGACAGAGCTGCTAAGAAGGCTACTGGAGGCGATCGGTTCTCCGAAAGCCACTGGAGGCAATCTGTTTTCTGGGGCCTTGATCACCCAGCTAGACTTAGATCCCCTTTGAAGCTAATGACTGGGACTCTGTGTCATTTGGGATGGCACAGCTGAGTGGAGACAAATTTCTCATAGGCTTGTTTCCCTACTTGAAACTTTGGTCTGGCCCCTTTTGAGGCACCTACACGCATAAGAGGTGTGATGCCTTAATGGCTTTGGGGAACCTCATTTGGGAAAACCCCATTTACAATGGACTGTTCATGTGATTGCCTTAATGGATTTGGTGAGACTTCATTTGGGAAGATCCTGTGTGCAACACACTGTTTATATGCTCAAGGTGGTCCAAGGACAGAAAGGTTACCCACTGCACAGGGAGCCCAACATGTGGGGGGCCCAACCCTTTTGATGACAGTTTCACCAGTTTCACTTGGTATTAGTAGATATTTTTTCAGGCTGGGAATGGAGAGAGCATCTAAAGCACCAATAAGGGATCCTACCAAGAGCTGCTGGCCCAGGACATGGTCTTTGCTGAGTTCCTATACATGTCCAGCATGGAACAGGAACAAGCCTCAGAGGATGATTGGATGACAGACATCAGCAGTCCAGGGAAAGAAGCCAAGCAAGTAGAAAATGACATGCTGGTCATGGACACCATGAACAGGCAGTTGTGGAGACAACTCAACAGCCCCTTTTTCTACAGCGAGGATGTCAACAAGCTCCACAGCCAAGAAGGGACCTGAAAACCAACGAGCTTCAGACAGCCCCATTGTCTACAGGACCCAGGAGCCCAAGGAGCCCTGGGCATTTCACAAGTAGACTATTCCATACCTGTGTTGTTTCTTGTGATCTGCACCTGGATCTACTGTACAATGTCCCGTGGTCTCCCATGAACTTCGAGTGCTGTCTCAGTGGGAACCTGGAGTCCCACAGGTCAAGATGTCGGCTGGGCATGTGGCTCACGCCTGTAATCCTAGCTCTCTGGGAGGCCGAGGCGGGCAGATTGTTTGAGCTCAGGAGTTCAAAACCAGCCTGAGCAAAGTGAGACCCCGTATCTACTAAAAATAGAAGGAAATTAATTGGACAACTAAAAATATACAGAAAAAATTAGCTGGGCATGGTGGCACATGCCTGTAATCCCAGCTACTCGGGAGGCTGAGGCAGGAGGATCGCTTGAGCCCAGGGGTTTGAGGTTGCTGTGAGCTATGATGATGCCACGGCACTCTAGCCCGGGCACCACAGTGAGACTCTGTCTCAAAAAAAAAAAAAAAAAAAAAAAGATGTTCATAGGCTCCCCTCCTCCATGCAAAGCAATAATGGGCAGGCTTTTGACTTAGAGATAACCCAGAAAGTCAGAAAAGTAGAATAGGGTACTGCTTTTTGTCCCCCTCTGAATAAGGAGATCCCTTAAAAGCAGGCTTAAGTTAAGCCCCTAAGAAATAGTTTAGGAGAGACCCTTCCTAACACCCAGAGGTAAGTATGGTAATATAACCATGAGTAAAAAACAGAGTACAACAATATGCTAACTGAGTGGGTCAGGTACTAACCACTATGTATGAGTTTGCCTCTTTCAGTTCTCCACCCTAGATGGAAACAAAGAAGTAGAAGAGACCCTATGAAGTCCCTCTAACAGCTCACACCTTGTTGAAGTTGCAGAAATGAAACCTTGGGTCCATGATACCAGAGTAAAGAGGTGTTTCACAGAACAAGAGAACCAAGCCCCCAGTGGAGGAGCCAGCCTTTAGGTGACCTAAAGTAACTGTTTAAGGAAGGGGAGAAATGAAAATGTTAATATTTTTTTACTAACCTTTCTTTGATTATTTGCTCTGTTTATAGGATGGAGAGACAACTCCCTAGTGAGGATTTCCCTGGACTTTCACCTCTTCTGTTGCTTGTCAATCCTCACTGTTGTATTTGTTGTTTATGACTTTTTTTTTTACCTAGCAATCTGTTATTATAAATATATTGCCAAAAATGTGCAATGACATATATAAGTATTAACCTTCCATCTTAAACATCACCCCCATTTTAGCAGGAAGTACCTCAATGACTACATTGCCCCTCCTCTCACAGATACGGAAGGGAAATATTGAGAATGGGAAATATGTAACAGAGGGAATGGCCTGGAAAAGAAAAAAAACAAAAAACCACCAAAAGATTTTCTGTCTCTTTAAAACTTCCCCCACTCTCTTTGGGAACTGCAGCCTAGCCTGCATCCCTGAGGCAGATTAAGTCTTTTGTTAAAGCTCACAGGCTTTGTCTTTGGCAGGGATGGGACTATTAGAATAGTTAACCACAGTAATTGCCTGAAGCTGAGAACCCTCCTCTTAAAAGCTCTGCATTTCTGCCTATGTTCAGGAAATTTGGATTTTGAGATGAGAAGGCCTACCATTTTTCCTGCTTTGCAAAGTAAACTCTCTTACCTTCCTCCCCAAACCACTTGTCCTTGTTCTTCTGACTTGGCCTCGTGGACAAGTGGCCAAAGTCTTCAGTAACAAAACCACAGAACATAAAATACATAATTGCTGGATTAAACTTTGAATGTGGAGACAGGGGAAAAGGCAGTAAGCAGTGAATCTTAGATGACAGGATTGTAACTCTATTGGCTCTTTTCATGAGATTAAAATCCTGCTAAAATCTCACCCGCACAGCTCTCCTTCCAAGGCCATTTGGTTCTCTGCCAAACTCTGTGTAATAAAAAGAGTCTGCAGACTCGCTGAACACAGACCTGCAGCTTTTTAGGGAAGAAATCAAAACGAGATCACAAGGTAAGACTGAAATATTCTGGGAGATTTTTAGTCAGGTTTTACCAAGGAAGATCTTGGGTCCATGGAGAACTGATTTTTATTTCTGCAAAATAAATGATTAGGCCAATTTGTTATTATGATTGCCAATAGCATTAAAAGTTGATGATAATAGTTGCTACTAATTCATAATTCCATTTTGCTTTCCTTTGGTGATTTGTAAAATTATTAATCAATTGCTAAAATAAATTGTAATAGTCTTTATAGTAAATATTCTCCTCCCCCTCATGAAACTTTATAAAAAGCAAAGTTGATAATTCTGCTTCATACTCCTAATGCTTACTCAAGACAAACCTACTTGCAATTGCTTACAAGTAGTCTTCAGTAAAAGAGGGACAAATAGAACTTAGAGGTACCACCCCCTCAAAAATAAACCATTTGTGAAAAAATGAAGAATTTACATTATAGACCCATATAAGTAACTCAGGCAAAAATCTCAATCAATGGAGGTTTATTAAACCAACGTTGAGGGCATGCTGGGGGGTGTGGGAGGAAACATAAGCCACGGACAGAAAAAACTGTGGCTGATTTTTCCAAAGGGTAGATTGGAATTTCTAGTATTTAAAGGCCTATAGAAAAAAGAGTAGGTGGTTGTGGGTAGTGAGAAAAAATGGTCTCTTGTGAGACCCAGGAAGATATACATTTTACTAAGATAAGTTGAATGTTAGAAGATAAGAAGGAGGTGAAGAAAGCATCAATTATGTAGATGTCCCTGGGTAGGTGGAAGGATGTTTGATCCAGTCTCTGTTCTGCTGCCTGTGAAGATGAACTTGTAACTCACTATTAGTGTGGAATCAAACAGACGTTAGTCTTAGGAGCTAGGCATAGCCTGTGGACCTAAAGGTACAATTTCATGTTGCTGCTTATGGGAGGTCAGCAAGAAATTTCCTTAAGGAATGATCTCACAGATGCCTGAAGTCTTTAGCTTTCCTTTTGCATAAGAAGTTGGGGCTGTGGCCCTGAGATTTTTCTATTCTTTTTACAACATCCTAAATGGATAAATTCAAAAGCTCATTAGTTTTGCTACTATTCTTCATTTAGAGACTTTCCTCTGAAGATTGTTTTCTTCTCTTTAATCCTTGCTTCCTGACTCACACTTTTTTCTGCTTTATCTTTCCACACGTGAATAGTCTGCCACCAGACTATTTTAATAAAGAAAATGGCACAAGATCCAGAAGTATGTCTTGTAGCTACACACAAGTCAGAACCTTGAGCATGAAGTGTCTAGGGCTTGGAGCGGCTGGATCTTCCAGACTCTCACTCCCTCCCCAAACTGCGCCTCTTCAGCTTGAATCACCCTCTATACCACCCCAAGGTCCTATGCTATTTCCAGTATTCTTACCTATTGCTTCTCACATTTGTCTTTTGAAATACTTGATGCTGCTTTTTGATTTCCTCCCAGAAAATGCACAGCTCTGCATTTAGAAAACTTCAGAATCCTCTATGTTCCAAAGTTTAGGGTGCTTGAATTGAATCACACAGCTGGGTAGCATCTTAAACAGTCAAGAACTATTAGCACAAGCATCACTCTCCTCAGCTCGCACTTTATATTTTCTACATTCCTCTCTGAAAGGATCTTGGATCTTCTACCAATCTTTGACTAGTTACTTCATAATTGATTTTTCTCAGCAACCTAGATGTTTATCTTTTCCCCATCACTGTTTAGCTTACAATATCTATAGCCAGAATGTACTTCTTTTCCTTTCCCAATTATAGAGAGGAAAGATTTCTGAGGCAAACTTTCACTTAGGGGCTGAAATAGAGCTGAAAACAAGGGAAGAGATTGAGAAATGGAAACTGCCACTCCTGGCCAGGATCTACCAAGGATTAAAAAAACAGAGCTTGCAACTAACTCAGAGCTGTAACTAACTTTGGGAAATAGATGTGAACTTCAATTGTGAAAAGTTCAGCTACATCAAGGAATTAAATTATTACAGAAAAATACTGCAGAGGGGGGAAGCTATGGGAGAAATACACACACACACACACACACACACACACACACACACACACACACACGTCAGGGAATATTTACGCCAGTAAATCTGATAGCATGAGGTCTCTTTTGGAGATGTGGGTGTGACTATGCCAAAATCAACGTACTTTGTATTATTTCCGACAAGTTGAAATTTTGACAAACATGGTGGGAATCAAGCATGTCAGTTGCAATTCTCCTTCTTTGTATCTCAATATGTTGCAGGGACATTTAGAAACATTAAGACCAAAAATAAACTCCTTGAATAGCAGAGAGAAATTGACCTTAATTCTGACAAGGATGACAACAATAAAATGATGTTGGGTTCAAGGACTTCAGGAAACCATGGTAGAACCTGATCTGTGGGTTCTTTGGTGCTGACATCTGCATACAAAAGTAACTTTTAAGGTAACTCAGCCTTACGTAAAGAGTGCAATATAGCATAATAGTAAAAAAACACAGAATTTTAGAGGCAGACAGGCTTCAAAATTCATCATCCATCATTGACTAGCTGTCTGATTTTGGTTCTTACTTAACTCTCCTGAACCTGAATTTTTTTTGTGGTATAAAATGTGAAAAAACAAAAAAGCAACAAAATCCTACTCAAGACAGGTGCTGTGATGGGTAAAGCAAGTTAGAAGCAGTCATTACAGGGAACTTATTAATCACTGACCATTTACTAAATGTCAGACATTTATCCCACATTATCCTGTTTAAACCTCACAGCACCTCTGTGAAATAAATATCATCTTCTCCATTTATGAAATTGAGAAGGCAAGATTTGGAAAAATTGTAGTAACCCAAGATCACAAAGTTAGTAAATTTCAGATCAGAGATTAAAATCCAGGGCCAGATCCTGTTAAGAAAAAAGGACTAAGAAGTAAGAATGATTCCAAACTACTTCATTTAGTGCATCTCTAATCCTCTTTGTGAAACCATTTTCTAAATTCAAAGTTTCCATCATTTTTAAACATAAAAATATTAGTGAGATGACATTAAAACCTTCTACCTATTTTCTTCAGGGCTACATTTACTGTTACATGAGGGAAAGAGTCTCTGCTAGCCAACACTCTTCTATGTAACTTCTTTTGTCATTCCCATTGCTGTTGCCAGAACCAAGAATCCGTCCACCCACAAACTTGGCCGGGTGCTTTACTTTTAATCAGCACCCAGTCTACATTGAATTCCACTCCACTGTGAACACCCCATAAATTATGATTGTCATAATTTTCCCTAGCAATATTAATGCATCTGAGACCTTTTGCAACCATTAAGAATGTTTTGCTCATTACTTCCCTTGGAGTTCCTAGCAATGATTCAATGTTTCCTTAAAGAATTTAACAGAACTTCATAGTTCTGCCTGTCTCAAATGTGTGCTCAAATCTCAACCACTCTAACTTCTTAGCCCACTGGCTTATCAGTGGCAATTGTTTAAGAAATAATACTTAAGCCGTTTATAGTTTCTTTTTAAAGAGGGGATTATATACTTTTCCCTACTTTTCTCTCATTTGGGGAATCATTACATCCAAACATGAATTTCCTCAGACCTTAATTTATTAGTTCCAAAATTTATCTTCGCTGAGGTTTTACTTGCCCATTATTTTTATACATATATTATATATTATTTGTCTACATTCTTTAGCAATCCTATTTAACAATACTTTATCAGAGTCGGCAAAACTGCTTCATATCAGTAAATTATTATTACTAGTATTATTAATTTTCCTTGAGTAGTATTTCATTCTAAACTTTTTAAAAAGTTTCAGCCACAGAAACAGGTACCAACATTCATTCTGATGTAATTGGTGACTATATTTAGCTTCCTGTTTTTTCTCCCATAAGAAAAAAAGATTGATATTTTTTGACTATATGTGTGGTATTACTTTTTTTAAAGAGTATGCATATTTTTTCTTCACTGACTTACTGAAGAGCCATATGGTTTCTGAAAACATAATCTAAAATTTTCTTTAAAATGTAACATTAAATATTAGAATGTTTAAACAATTCAACCTTGAAGATATTATTAAGTCAATGTCTAGAATACGTTAGTTGTTTGCCATTTCATTTTAGGATTTAGAAAAAGTCAATGTGAATTACACTTAGACAAAAAAATAAAGAGAATCGGTATCACTTGACATGCTTTTAGCTGCAATAGTGGAATGCAAAATTGAACATGGCTTAAACGACATAAGGATACTTATTGCTCACTTAACAAGAAGTTCAGGCCGGGCGTGGTGGCTCACGCCTGTAATCCTAGCTCTCTGGGAGGCCGAGGCAGGCGGATTGTTTGAGCTCAGGAGTTCGAAACCAGCCTGAGCAAGAGCGAGACCCCGTCTCTACTAAAATTAGAAAGAAATCAATTGGACAACTAAAAATATATAGAAAAAATTAGCTGGGCATGGTGGCACATGCCTGTAGTCCCAGCTACTCAGGAGGCTGAGGCAGGAGGATCGCTTGAGCCCAGGAGTTTGAGGTTGCTGTGAGCTAGGACGCACAGCACTCTAGCCCGGGCAACACAGTGAGACTCTGTCTCAAAAAAAAAAAAAAAAAAAAGAAGTTCAGAGTTAGGCAGTCCCTGAGTTAGTGCAAAAAGTCAAGCACATCATCAAATACTCAGAGTCTTCCCACCCTTCCACTTTGCCATCCTCAGAGTGTCCATGATCTCTCCTTCCTGGGAGAAGTTGGTTGGCCCAGTCCTGACCATCACATCCTTACAGGGGCCAAGAGAGTGGAAGCAAGAGGTGCTTACTCCTCACATGCCTCTCATTTCAAGTGGAAAATTTTCCCAGAAGTCCCAGGCCAAACTCCCCTTATATCTTATTGGCCAATTCTGGATCACAGAATCATTTCTAGACCCATTATTGGCAGATGGAAACAAGATTGACATGAATGGCATATGTTTCTGCATGGCTAAATTTCTTTGGGGAAATAAGACATTCATTAGCTGAGAAACAACATTCATCCTCAGTGACTCTCAGCATCCTCTAAT